CCGGTTGCTGCCTTTGTTCTACTCGGCGGTGACGATGTTGCCGCTACCTAGTCACGGCGTGAACTTGGTTTTAACCATAGACCTTATGTTTAACGAATGGTTTTACCGATAACGATTTTATATATTTGACGTCACCCTGGCAGTAAAAATGTGGGTACGATAATGCACTTTTCTGGGCCACATGTTCATTTTTAATCGTGTTGAAAAAACTTGTAACGTTTTGTTTGGTGGTGTTATCACCTCACGGTGACCTGCTACGATAACAAACCGGAATTTTCACAGTTGCACCTTAAAACAATGAACCAGTTACCCTGAGCACGATGAATCATCTTCGGAAGACAATGAGTGTTGGCCTGTTTTGTAAACAATTCTTTGTATGGGACCATGCAGGGCGCACAGGAAATATAACAGGGCGCTGACAATTTAAACAGGGCGTCAATTTCAGATAACAGGGCGCGGCGCCCTGTAAAAACCCCTCGTGGAGAACCCTGAACCCTGATAATGTTGAAAGGGTTTGACATGATGATTTGAATCTTGCATGTGACTATTTGTTACTTTTCATTTTAAGTCTGTTTTTTATTTGATAGTTGATTTGTGCCTATATTTGAATATATTCAAAATATGTGGTGTCCAGCCACAACCAAATTTGTTACACTGCCACTATGGTCATATGCATTACTATATAATCATGCAACTGGGGCATGCATGGCAGTTCACTGAATACAAACATAATTCCAAAGCATTCAAGTCTAGTAAATTTTCAAAAGTACATTTAAATCACACCTACCGAAAAGTATAAATTGGTAATTTTGTGATTTTTTGTTTTTTTAGATGGAAAGGGAATATTGCAAGCAACATACAACAAGGACCATTACCCTCACAGATTATGACAGTGTCAGTACCGAATGCTAGTTCTTCAGGGTAAGTCATCAATTCTTAATGCCTATAAATATAAAGGAGAATCGTGATAAAAGTCTTTTTTTGACTCCCGTGTGCGAAGCACAAAAAGGGAGTCTTTGCAGTTAGTGTGTCTGTCTGTCTGTGCGTGTGTGTGTGTGTGTGTGTCTGTTCCATCGATATCTCAAGAACCAATGTTCGAATTTCAATGAAACTTTGTATATAGCTTGTCTGGGGCAATGCGCAGATTTAATTAGTTTTTGGTTGACATCCATGCATATTAATGAGCTCGTCTGCATAATAATGTGTGAATTTTAAGCTATTTCAGTTACATCTCAAGAAGCATTAAAACGATTTTTATATAACTTGGTAAGAATGTTACTAATGATTGGCTGCTGCAATTCATTGTTTTATTTTACATTTTAATTAAAATTTAGCATTTTTATGTATTTTTTTAATATTTTTTTTTTATTTTTTCTGCCCAATTGCATGAATACAACTAATAGGAATCGGTGAGTGGACTAATTTGCATAATGTTGCGCATGCGTATTCTATTTTTTATGACCAGCAATTTATGATGGTGTCAGCCATTTTGTTATTTCCAGTGTGTTGTACAAAAACAAAAATCACAAAATCATAGCACTAAGTAAGCTGGTTTACCTTATTTTTGTGTCAGAGTACCCTGTACAAATGAAATGAATCGACATGCAATGATTACCAAAACAATTTGACAATCAGTGTCTCATTTGTTCACCGCCCCCTCAACACGGTGATTTGTTACAATCGACGGTGATTTGTTATGAGGGGTATTTTTTACCGGCCCTTTTCGTCGGAAATTATGAATTCATTGGCTCTAATATATCCTAGTTTACTTTAGTTGTTTCATCCGAGTATTCTGTACATTGATTTTACCTAGCAAAGGAAACAATCGGTGTCTGGCTTTGTTATATTTACAGTATTGCAACACCTTATGTGGGCCCCCAGCTTGGGCCTCGTGTTTCACTATTTTTTTCATTGAATATTACACGGCACATTTATTGCTCGAGTTACTGTTCCTATTAAGTTAAGCCATGGAGCAAAAAAGAATATATGGTTAAGCTGAATACCATGCTTCATGTGGAATGTATAGACCGTGATGTCGGCATTAACTACTGGATGCACAGTGGAAACGACTGGGGCAACGCCACGCTGACCGTCATCTCCTGCCTGGTAAAAAAAACATGCGGGACGGGGTGCAGGGTTTTAAGCCGTCGTAGATGTTTTCAAAACAAAAATTAGCGAATAGGTTTTGTTTTGAGCCACTTAAAATGTCTTGTGTGTATTTTTGGTTGGTACTCATCGCGTGCGACGTGCTCCAGATAGTGTCAATTTATACGCAGTAACAAATGAGACGCGTTGGGGATTACTTTGAATTTTATGTACCGAGAAGTACGTCTGCCGTAAATTATTAATATTTGTTATGGTACTGAGCTGTACGATGGTTGTAATTTTACCATGTCGATTTTCGGGATATACAAACCAATCAAAGGGACTCTAAATATTGTGATGCCTTCCTTATTAATATACGTAACTGAAAATAAATAAATATAATATTTATTGACACACATATTGATATTAAGATAGTGGTTTGAATTTTAGATATTTAGATTGTGATTGTTTGTCAGAAATGTACATAGTTGTTCTTGCTACTTTATGTTTTCCGTGTTAACTAAATTTCTAAAATATTTTTAAATGCCCTATAAGTTTATTTTGGGCTTTTATTTGTTCATTATTTTCGTTGCATTTCACTTTCCCCAATGTTTTATAATTTATTTCAGTTTTCTTTTTAATGTTGCAATTTTGTGTAGACTTTTTATGCATATTTTTAAGTAGGCTTATTGTAGGTATATGATGTCTATGTGTGTAGATGACTACTGGTGGCTCCTTATTTAATAGATTATTCATAATTTGTTTATCATTTTCAAATATTCCCGAATATTACATCATAATCCCTATTCCTTCAGCACACGGGAGTTCTTTCTAAGCTTTCTTTGATTTAGCTTTGCTGTCATCAATTGTCTATCATTGCCCAATTGCATTGTTGACTTCTTGAAACTCCTATCTCAATTACTTCAATACTTGATAGGTACCTACCTTGGGTGGTTTTTTGTCAGACTTGTTCATTTTATGACGATAACTTTAATTCTCTATTTTTGGCAAATATTTCTCGCAGACAACACCAGACAAACTTTTCTCAGTTCGTCAATTGTTTTCGACTCGGCAATGTTCTAGTAGGACAGCAAAACTATTTTGAACGCCAGGACGCCTTTCCACTGAGGTATTGAGTTGGTTCTGCGTCCGACTGACTTCGCAAAATACGCTAAACCATTTATTTAACTTGATTTTTTGTTTCATAGCTGCCTTGATCGACTGAGATATGAAATTATTGATAAGAAATTGATAAGCAAAAACTTTCAGTCTAAAATTTACCATGTTTGACATAATTTTTGTGTCGGGGTGCATGTGTAATTTGTTTGTTTTTTCAAGCTGTAGAAGCTTAACAATTTTGTGATGACAGTTAGTGTGCTCTTGGCATAAAATGTACTGTAAATTCGTAATAGAAGCCGCGGCTGCCCTCCCCATAAAAAGTGGTTAAGTTCAGGTGCGGCTTCTATTGAAGCATTGTCTAAAATCTCAAAGTGTCTCCATGGGAAATATGCAAATTAGTTAATGATATGCTAATGAGATGCACACAAACTGCAACAATGTATCAAGTTTTTACTTTAAATCATGGAGCTAAAAATGTTTAAGTCAAGGACAATTTTCAGTGATGTTCAATAAATATATACTCAAGATACAAACCATTTAATAAATACTATATAAGATACAAACACACACACACATGGTAGCTGTATAACTCTTTTTTGAGGATGTGGTGGCCCTGAAAAGGGCTGTTTGGTTTGTTTGAGAACCACAGAGATTTGCTTAAAATCCAAGGAACTTGTCATCCTCACTGTCTTCATTGTCGCTATAAAATATCTTTGCAATCTCTTCTCCGATTGCCTCGTCGTCTGCCTTGAGATCTTCGTACACCAAGTTGTCCTCACTGCCATCAAGTGCGTTAGATATGCTAGTCTTCTTGAATGAATTGATGACATTTTGGGGTGGAACTTCCACGAAGAGACGACCCACTCAAGTACTGTCTACTTAGCAGGGGCCTTTCTTTTACCAGCCGGTGTGAACAGGTCTTCATCCATTCATCCCACTCGGCGTGCATATAGTCTTTGAGTGGCTTATTTACGCCCACATCTAGTGGTTGAAGAAGTGATGTCAATCCTCCTGGAATCACTGCAATGTCCACGTTCCGAGATTACAATTCCTCTTTGACAGCGGGCGTGAGGTGTATGCTACAGGAGTCCCATATGAGTAGCTGCCGAGAGTCATCGTTCCGCCTTGGAAATGTATTTCTAATCCACGGTAAACAAACTAAATGAAGAATAATCAAAGAAAGCTTACAAAGAACTCCCATGTACTGAGAGTATTGGAGACACATTAAATATAATTCGAAATTACTTAGCTGAAAACTAATTATGCAAATCAGAAAATTAATATGAACAGATTTGAGTGTAAAACTAATGAGGTCTGCGCAATGTAACAGAAAATCTATGTTTCTAAGTTTAATTGAAATGTGATTAGAACCAAAAAATTATGAATTATTATGCTTATTAGGGAATTAATATGAACAGATTTTTACCCCAAACTAATTTATTAGGTTTGTACATTGTCCTAGAGCATCTTTGTACTAAGTTTCATTGAAATGGAAAT